GGGATCCGCCGGAATCCCGGAATTCCTCCCCGCGCCGGCGGAAAATTCCCGCGCCCGGCTTCCCGCCGCCCCGCTTCCCGCTTTTTCCCCCCAATTTCCGGGCCCCGGGCTGGGATTTTCCTCCCGGAATGCGTCGACGCCTCCCAAGCGGCGCCTTGTGCGACACGTGCCCCCAAAACCCACCGGAGCTGGAGCTTCCCGCCGGCCCGGCGCCGGAATTCCCGCTCGCTCCGGGAATGTCCCGTCGGCGCGAACGCGGCCTGGAAAAATCCCGCTCACGCCAAGCGCTCGGCCGCGGCGCGGAATTCCGAGCCCGGAGCCGCCGTCCCGCTCGCTCCGGCCACGACGTCCCGCTCCGGAAGATCCCGCTCCGGAAGATCCCGCTCCGGAAGATCCCGCTCCGGAAGATCCCGCTCCGGAAGACCCCGCTCCAGAAGATCCCGCTATGGAAGATCCCACTCCGGAAGACCCCGCTCCGGAAGACCCCGCTCCGGAAGATCCCGCTCCGGAAGACCCCGCTCTGGAAGATCCCGCTCCAGAAGATCCCGCTCCGGAAGATCCCGCCGTCGACGCCGTCCCGCTTTGCCGTTGCCGCCGTCGGAACCGGCCGGAGCCGATCCCGTCCGAATCTGCGGCCGGCTCCCGCTTGTTGGGATCGGGCGGCCGCTTCCCGCATCCGGCGCCGGCTCCGCCCGCACGCGGCAGCTCCGGAGGGAACGGCTCCGGCGTGTCGCCCGTCGCGGCGTTCCGAGGAGCTCCGGCCGCGTCCGGAGGCCGGCGCCGTTCCCGAAACCGGAGGCGCCCTCGCCGCTCCCGCGGGAAACCGGAGCGCCGCCGCTTCCCGACCTTCTCCCGCCGGAGCGGCCGGATGCGGCTCCCCGTGAACGCGGACGGCGTCGCCTTTCCCGACGCCTCCCGAGCCGCTCGGCGTTGTTTCCCTGCGCCAAAACCGCCCGCTTTCACCCCAAAACGGACCCGGCGTTCCCGGCTCCGGCCGCGGCACGAGGCTTCCCGGAAAATGTGCCGGGAAAAGCCGCACGCGTCCCGGTGGCTCCGCTTCCCGCCGGAGCGGCCTCCGCGTCGGTGCCGACCTCGTCCCGGACACACGCGGAGGCCGGAGCCGCCCGGAGCCGGGAAAAGGGGATCCCTTCGTCCCCGCGCTCCGACGGGTAGAGCCGGCCCTTCCCGCCACCGGATTCGGAGCCGCTCCGAATCCGGCGGCATTCGGAGCCCGTAGCGCCGCGTTCCCGGCCGGCTCCGCATTGGGTGGGAATTCCGGCTCCGGCCCGGCTCCGGCCTCGGCTCCGGCTTTGGGAGCAGATCCCGGCGCGTGCCGGGACGGAGCCGGATCCCGAGGCCGCCGGCGCCGGCCCCGGAGCGGCCGCCGAGCGCCACCGTGTGCCGGCCGGGAGCGCCGCTTCCCGCGGACGGAGCCGCCGCTTCCCTACGGAGCCACGGGCCCCGCGGCCGGCCCGCTGTAGCAGCGTGTGTGCCGCCATCCCGGGAATGCCGGCGCTCCGTGCCCGCTTATCCCGGGAACACCGGAGCTCCTTGCCCGCCTGTCCTGGGAATACCCGAGCTCTGTGCCTGCCTATCCCGGGAACGCCGGAGCTCCGTGCCTGCCTATCCCGGGAATACCCGAGCTCTGTGCCCGTCTATCCCGGGAACGCCGGAGCTCCGTGCCCGCTTATCCCGGGAATTCCATAGCTCCGTGCCCGCCTATCCCGGGAACGCCGGCGCTCCGTGCCCGCTTATCCCGGGAATTCCATAGCTCCGTGCCCGCTTATCCCGGGAACGCTGGCGCTCCGTGCCCGCCTATCCCGGGAACACCTGAGCTCCGTGCCCCCCTATCCCGGGAACGCTGGCGCTCCCTGCCCGCCTATCCTGGGAATACCCGAGCTCCGTGTCCATCTATCCTGGGAATGCCGGCGCTCTGTGCCCGCCTATCCCGGGAATACCTGAGCTCTGTGCCCGTCTATCCCAGGAATACCCGAGCTCTGTGCCCGCTTATCCCGGGAACGCTGGCGCTCCGTGCCCGCCTATCCCTGGAATACCGGAGCTCTGTGCCCGCCTATCCCGGGAACGCCGGTGCTCCGTGCCCCCCTATCCTGGGAATACCCGAGCTCCGTGCCCGCCTATCCCGGGAACGCCGGTGCTCCGTGCCCATCTATTCTGGGAACACCAGAGCTCCGTGCCCGCCTATCGCGGGAATGAAGGTGCTCCATGCCCATGTATCCTGGGAACACCGGCGCTCCGTGCCCGCCTATCCCGGGAATACCTGAGCTCCGTGCCCGCTTATCCCGGGAACGCTGGCGCTCCGTGCCCGTCTATCCCGGGAACACCTGAGCTCTGTGCCCACCTATCCTGGGAATACCCGAGCTCCGTGTCCATCTATCCTGGGAACGCCGGTGCTCTGTGCCTGCCTATCCCGGGAATACTGGTGCTCCGTGCCCATGTATCCTGGGAACACCAGAGCTCCGTGCCCACTTATCCCGGGAATACCTGAGCTCCGTGCCCATCTATCCCGGGAATACCCGAGCTCCGTGCCCGCCTATCCCGGGAATACTGGAGCTCTGTGCCCG